GGAGGGAGGAGGCAGGGTATGGAAGAAGAGTTGGGAGGAGGAAGGCGATGGAGAGGGAGGGAGGAAGGAGGCGATGGAGATGGAAGGAGGGAGGAGGCAGGGTATGGTGGAGTATGGAGGAAGGAGGCAATGCAGAGGGAGGGAGGAGGGAGGAGGGAGGAGGGAGGAGGGGAGCGATGGACAGGGGGGGAAGGAGAGAAACGATTGAGAGACAGGGAGGAGGGCGGCGATGAAGATGCAAGGAGGAGGGAGGAGACGAATGAGTGCAGAGAGTAAGTCAGCTGAGCAACAAGTAGCAGGCTACAAAGCGCAGCCAGGAAAAAAAGAAGTTTACACTGTAGATGCCAACACCGAAGAACAGGAAGAAGGAGAAACAAGGACCAACAAGATGAAATAAAGAAAAAGATAGGAACTTGAGAAGAGAACCAGGGACCAATTAGAAGTAGAAAGTTACTAGAAATGAAGACGAAAAGAAAGGAGAATAAGAAGAAGAAGAAAGACTAAAGAAGAACAAGAGAAGAAAAAGAAAAAAAAGCTCACCTTTGCGCCGTTCATGCGTGGCACAACGATCTCCAATGACAGAGGTAACAATGGCGCAGCAGAGGAGGTTACACAGCAGAGGTGAAGATGGCGACTGGAGCATGATGACGACTGCCACATGCAATCTCGCGGGGCGGGCAGGGCATGACTGGCAGGGCGGAACACAGGCTTGAGCGGGGTGGCCAGGTTTCAAATTTGAAACCTGGAGCTGCCCTGCACCGTCGATCTGGGACGATCAACGACCCAGGTTGCAAAACGAAACAAAAAAAGAGTGAAACGTGGCCTTACCGGCCCTGAAAAAAAAAAACGAGCAACTGCCAAATTTTCGTTTAGCATCCGGGCCAACCAACGGCGGCACAATTTTGTTTTTCGAGGCCCTTTTGGCCTTGGCACTGAGGAGGTCCGGGAGGCCGACTGGGGGGGTCGCCCGGCCGAGCGCCCCGAGCATCATTCCGGGCGCCGTGGAGTACCCCGTGCTCCTGGGTAGGAAAGCTATGTAACACATTTATATAATTGATTTATTATAACCATGGTAACCGTCCGGACGTCTGGACCGGGTTCCAGACAGTCCGGTGTCCGGTGTCCGGTGTCCGGTGTTCGGTGTCTGGTGTCCGGTCCTCATTTCCGGATGGAGGCCCCTGGGGCAAAAAAAAAAAAAAACAGGGCGGCCCAGGACGTTTATAGGGTCCTGGCTGCCCCTTGAAAAATAACGGGGTGATTTTTAAGTGTCGTTTCACCCCACCAGACATGGCCTAGAGGTCCGGACACAAGACACTGCAGGTTTTTTAGGTGGCGGGTTTCGCACAGGCCCGAGCAATTTCAAAGCGCCGTTTCGACGTGGCGCCCGCCGCTGCTGCCCATTGGGGGGAGGGGGGAAGAGAGAGAGAGAGAGAGAGAGAGAGAGAGAGAGAGAGAGAGAGAGAGAGAGAGAGAGAGAGAGAGAGAGAGAGAGAGA